CGGCAGCTGGTTCGGTGCTTTTTCTTTTTTTTTTCGGTTTCATAACCCACGCGTACTCAACCGGTCTGCTAGCACAGCTTTTATATTTTGAAGGGCTTCTATTACCATTGTCGAGAGGATCGTTTTTTATTTAGATATACGTGCACGTTTTGACGCATCGATACTCTCGCGTTTATCGTTACTCTTCAATTTCTTCGCGAACCTACTAAACGAATCACCTAGTTTCTCCGAAAGTCTGTCTAAAAGACACGCGTGTTACATGTTTTATTGTCGAAGTATTACGGCTTAAATGAGAAAAGTATTTATAATCAGATTTTATCTTATACGACATGCCCTCGTCATCGCCGTTATAATAAATCCTCGTTTTATACGAATTTTCTTTCCCTAACTCGTTTATTTCTATAAAACTTAAAATAATTTAATATTAGCGTCATTTTAATTTTCGACACGATACCAAACGCTTTTATGTACATCGGGGGTAATTTATGTTTAATAAATTCCACATTTCGATGAGAGTTTAATTATTTTTGGAGATTAACTTGCCAGTCTCGATACAAAAACCTTAATTTTACGAGTATCATTCCCGATCCTTCGTTCCCGTCCCGAGATTTCCCTTCTCCTAAAAAAATCGATCGAATTTTCTTTCGAACGTCGCTGCCGCTACCCTCGTCGATTCTCGAACCCTAGCGCAAGGACGGTAATTCTCGGTAATTAATAATCCGCAACAAGTAATAATCGGCCGAGTAATCCGACCGGTCTGCCGCGACAAGCAACCTCCTTAATTCTAGATAATTAACGTAAAGACAAACAAGAAGGATTAACTCAACCTTCTGGTTCCTTCCTTTCTCTTTATTTTCATTCGTGACGCGTCTCTCTTTATACCGCTGCCTCTCGGTAATTTCGTTTCGTTCAACTTTCTTTCCACCCCAAAGGCTTCGGTCGCTTCTTTAAACGTCCGCGCAACGGCTAGCTGGACGCTTCCAGGAATTACTTAATTTTTCCCCGAGAGGAAAAGTATCCGATTTCTTGGTTGAAAAAACGCGAACCACCCCTCTGTAGCGTTACGGAGCACGGACCTCGTCAAGGTGCACGCTTAAGACCCTGCATCGAAAATTAGAACGAAAATTTTCAACGATCACTAGGCGAACTTCGAAACGTATTCTAGAACGATAGGAAAAAATGCGGGATACTTTTAGAACAATATGTATTTTCGTTCAGGGGATCAGAGGTCCAGCCTGGCCCCTTTCCCAGTTACGCCAATGCACAGGAACCGTTTCGCTGGCGCGAAAACGCGAACGCGTATCCATTTAATCGGGCCTACAGTCTCGAGATACGATTGTGCATAAGCGCACAGCAACAACGAGAAAAGTTGGGAGGTACGAGCGAAGAAAATAAATATTAATAACGATGTTCCTTCTTCCCCCTACCTATACCGCGATCTTTCTTCGTTTCTCTTTGGCACGAGCATATTCTTTCTCTCGGTAATTGTAAGTCTCCTTCTCTGTCTCCCTCCCTCCCTCCCTACCTCTTTATGCAAGCGCACTCTCGTTCCCTCCTCCCGTTAGTCACCGAGTGCGCGTCTGTGCATTGTTAGACCCATTACGGGAGCCAATTAATCTATGCACAATTTTATAATTAAACGGCTAATAGCGCATAGAATTATAGTCCAGGGCCGCGCGCACTCCCACGTATCCTGCTGCGTTCGTGGGTTACGCGGCGAGAAAGACGCGTTGTGAAAGACTCGAAGGAAGAGGTTAGGGAAAAAAGGAAGGAAGAAAGAAGACAGCAACGAGGAAATCTCGCGTTCGTGCGCCAACGATATTTATCGCGATCCTGCTCGCGATTTGGTACTCTGCACTAAAGTGCGCTAGCCAACGACCGGACAACTTTCTCACAACTTGTCGCCGAAATATCTTTTCTAGAGCGAGCTGCGTTGCTCGATATTACCTTGAAATATCCGAAAGAGTAACGAGACAATTAACGCAAAGATAACTCTGTTTGACAACGAAACTATAGGGTATTAAATGTAGCGAAACCTGTGCAGCGAATTATACATCGAAGTCATTGTACCACATATTTTACCGTTAAGTTTCGCGCGAATTTGGCAAACCTGATCGACGATGCATTCGAACCGTACCCTAAGTATCGGATAATAAATGCGGCAAATATAGGGAAAGTGGAATTTCATCGATCATAGAGCTCAACCGATTAAACTAACGTTCATCGAGGAACTCGATGATTTTCCATATCGGTATAAAACGTAAGCGGGACACGCTTCCAAAGATTCGAGCGATCTTTTCACCAGAGCCAAACAAATTGACGAGGATAATTGGCTCCGTTCTCGTTAGAGAAGCGTTCATATATGGCAGCAATTAGAAAAGCGAAAGAAGAGGTACGGAATCGGGGACACAACGATCCAAACGACACGAGCGTCGCGTCGCGTGGGCAGCTTCGACGAAGTTTCGATCGAAGGTCCGAGGGTACGCGAGATGGCCGTGCACGAGAGGTGAAGCGGCGTGGCGGAGCGTTGCAGCGCAGCCGGCGCCGCGCTGTAAACCGCAAGAAAAATCCCGCTGAATTATCGGTGCGGTTCTCGGTGCATGCTGTTGCATCGATGGCGATAGAAGCGGCCGGAGGAGCGTGTAACTGTGCGGGCATTGAATCCGCGTCGGTGTGCAGCCCCGTTGCCCCGGTGTTACCGCTGCCCGTGCATTATCAGAATGTAACGACGTCAGCGGTACACGCGACCAGACTGGACCACCGCACACACGACGACACCGAACACACCGGTCCGCGTCTCTTAATCATCCGATTTTTCCTGCTGATCCTCCCTCGCCGCCCCGCACACCTCCGCGCTTCGCTTGTTTCTCACCCTCTGCCGATATGCCTCCGCTCGTTTTTCCGATCGATACACGAAAAGCCAGGATGCGAGGCGATTTTCGAGTCAAGGTGGGATCTTCCGTTGGATCGTGTTTTTCGCTTCTAACGGGAGTTTCAGTTTCGCGCACATTCTCCTCCTGCCACGAAGGTTCTCTTCCAATATCACTGACTGTTTTGCGATAGAATATTTATTTCTCCCTGAACAATGCTAATGCCTCGACCGTGATAAATGGTCTCAGAGATATTTCGAGCAAGGATGTCGACTTTGTTTTTCGAGCTATACGTATAGAGTATAAATAAATATGATCCTTTCAAGTGGAATTTTAGGTTTATTCTAACCTAACATCGAGAAGCCTAACCTTTGGATTACGATCACATGCAATTTACATTCTAACTGTAATATAATGCCATTAATGACAAATAACCATTGTGATACGATATCTCGGTATTCGAACACGAACGATCGGCATACACGTAATGCCTTAATCGTTGAAAGAACTTTGTTATTACGATCGTTTCTGGCTCTTTCGACTCGACGAAAATCATGAAAATGTTAAAAAATATTGTATTATCGTAACTCGATAGTCGGGGGCTTTATAGATCGTAGTAACTACATAAAGGATAAGATGGCAATCACTGTATACTTTATTCTATTAACAAAGTATAAAACATACATGTTTCGTTTTAATTAAAACTTACAAATTAGTACGTAAGTACGATAGCACGCGCATAAAAAGAATTATTTATTGCGAACGCTATAATGACTCGGCTCATAAAGTAGTAAAACACTACGTCCTCGTAACATTATCGACGTAACTTGTTTTAGACGCAACCACGCTGGATCGAAGCAAAAGAATTACATTTCCCTTATCGTAACCATTACTTTTCAGGCCACTCTTCACTTTTGCTTTTCTTTCGCGAGTGGGGAGCGAGGAAGGAAATAATTTCTGCGGCAGTATCTTCGAAAGCCGTCGTATCAGGAGTATCCAAAGACTAAAAAAGATCGATTCGATAAAAGAACGAACGGAGAAATAAGAGCAGAGGCGAGAAGAATGGCCCGCACGAGCCGACGGCTCGTTCAACTCTGTTCTTCGACTGCGACTCGGATTATTTGGATCCCTATCCCTACGACTTTCTCTTTCCTTCAGTTTTCTCTTTCTCTCCAGTCCCTCTGCTTCCGTCCCTGTTTCATCTAACCGCTATCCCTCGGCCCTCTTTCTCTTTCGCCCTCACCGTGTCGCGCTGAATCCGTTTCCGTTGCGACTACCGCTGCGCGTCTCTCGCTGCGATGTAATTGTCCGCCGTCGCGACCAGTTTTCTCACCGATCGATCTTTCGCGGACCGTGTTATCGCGATGGATCAGAAGTTTAAAACGAGATCGTCCGGAGACGCGACGAAGCTACGTTGTCGAAAGTTCGTTCGAGAGGCTCGGTGGACGCGAGACGCGCGACAGAAGCGCCGAGTCGTGGACAATAGTTTCGCCGATCCCACCGGATCCCCTCGTTCCGTTTACCATTCCGTTTCGTCTGCCGTCTAACTCGTGGGTGGGGTAAGCTTGTACTACAGCCACTTCTCTCTGTCTCGTCGGTGGGGACGATTCATTCAGAGAAACTGCCGTGAAAGGGACACCTGTTGGCACAGAGGCCCGTTGACAATTCCAGATGCAAGGGCACGTGCCTTTGCTCGAATCTCCTGCCGTCCCTGTCGCGACAGTACGAACGAACGAGGGAGGGAGAGAGAGAGCGGGAGATAGAAACGAGCCAGAAAAGGGAGGAAGAACGATAAAAAGCTTCGGGAAACGACGAGAAAACGGTAAAATCACCGAGAACGGAGATAGTCCTCGAGAAGCAGAAGCCAAGGCACGATTAAAATATGTTTGTTTTTTTCATGGTCGACCGGTAGCAAGGTAAGGAACGTAGCTGGCCGAAGATAAAGTGCTGCCCAGAGGCGACACCGGGCGTTATTAATACACGCGGGGATCGTAGCTTCCGTTCTCTTTGGAGCGGCTGTTAGGGGTACAAAGAGTGATAGTCGTTTTCGCGTATCGTCGCGAGTCGTTTCGTTTCGAAGAAGATACATATTATCTAGGTAGTAAAGTAAGGTAGCCGCGATACGCTTACCTGGCCGTTGTGCAGTCCCTGTAGAGTATATCGAAGTCCTTGCAACTGAGCAGCTTGCATCGATTGACTCCTGGCTGGATGGCTCCGAGTCCGCGTAGAATCCTAACCTGTTCGACGTTGCACACCAACGGCACTATATCGAGCCTTTTCAGTTTCGTGTAGACGGTGTGCAGGCCACCGACGAGGTGTTTGAGAAACAACTCGAATGCCTGCGGCAGACAGAGCATCGTGTCCCCGGCGATGATGAACGCGGCCACTTTTTGACCGCGATAGTCGACCAGTTTGCACTCGTTCGCGGTAGGATCGCTGGTGCTGATCGGTGGCGGGCTATTGTAGGACCTCGGGGGTAGAACCGCGTGATGGGCCGCCATCAGCTCGAGCGGCGAGCCATGGTGACCGCTCAGCATGCCACCGAGTTGACCGAGTAGTCCGAGTCCCGGTGGTGGTAATCCCGGCATACGGGGCACCATACCTGACGGTGCACTGGGCGCTCCTCCGGCGGAAATGGGTGGCGGGCTTAACGGAAGTCCTTGAGGCGGCGAACCTCTGGTCGGCGATCCCGGCGTGGGAACGCCGCGATGCTGTTGCTGCTGCGATTGTTGATCGCGGAGCTGGTCCCGCGGATGAGGTTGCTGATGAGACGCCGGCGGTTGATGCTGAGAGCCGTGGAGCTGTTGTTGCTGAGCTTGTTGGGCCGACGGACTGTGCGGATGTTTCGGGCTGCCGGTTACGGGACTGGCGCGACTGCTGTGATCGGAAGCGCTATCCATCGCTCCGTGATCCATCGGCCGTCCAAAGAGCACGCGTCTATCCGTTGTCGTCGACCACCTCCCTCTCGATATATCGTAGCGTTCCCTCGAAATGTTGTTACGGTGTCGCGAGGAAACACCTCGCCTCGGTTCTCGCCACGTGGACACCGCGAGATACGAGGATCACGACACCGCGAGTCTCAACGCATGCTAAACCGTTGATCTCGTTCGAACGACCGCCCGGCTGCCGGAACCAGCCGATCAGG